GTGCATCTCTGGCAAAAATGAGGTCTGTCATCCTACAGCATGTTTATATGCTGGAGATACTATCAGCTGGATTAGGTTAGGGTTTTTTCTTTAATATGCTACAGTTAGTTGGTTTGGCAATAGTGCTGGCATGGGCTTTGGAAATGCATTTCTGCATCTGTTCTTTTTGCACTTCTAAGTCTACACTTTGTGGTAGCTTCTGAAAAGATGAAAATTGCTGCCCTTCCCAGACAGCAGAAAAGCCAACGTCTCCTGATGTGACCATGCAGAATTAGAAAGCACAATGGTTTTCTGAGACTTGTGGCCTGTGAACTTTTAGTGAACTCTAAGGAAGCATTTAAACAAAACAGGAAAAGGGTCCTCAATCTTTGGAGGCATAAGCATGAGAAGAAAGTGCAAGTGATGATGTAGCACTGCGGGTCACATCAGACTTTTATCTTTCCTATTTTCTCAGTTCTAACAGTTTAAAAGGTTCAACCGTAGCCACAAACAACTCGTGGAAGTGGAGGACCACTGGAATGAGGACGTGTGCTTTAGGTCATCTGGAACAATGTGTTCTTAACACAAGAGGCAGATAGATGTAAACCAGCAAAATACTGGATAATAGTGGTAGGACTCATATATGTCCAGGTTACTTTATATGTAAGACTTACATGTCCGTGTCAGTCTTATTTACATTCATCGTTTTAGAACTAGTTATATTGTTTTAAAAAATAATAAATTCTAGCAATACAAAACATATATGATTGATTTTTTTTGTGGAAGGATGGCTCACTTTGCTGGAAGCATGATCCCAGAATTGTCACAGGGACTTAAAACTACCTGACTAATATAAAAAAAAAAACCTGAACTATAACCTGAGTAACTCTGTTAGCATGAAGCTGTAGGTAGAACAAACCTCAGTCCCGCCTAATCCTTATCCAACTCTTGATCCAAACCTCATGCACTGTCAGGTCACCCAAATTCTTCAGAGAACAGTCTTTCAGGACTTACTTGCACGCATAGTTTGAATAATTTTAACTATGCTGAAGCAATCAGGTAAGTAAATCTCCCCATGTGCCTGTAATGAAAGAGTTTGCGTAAGCATTATTTCCGTGTAGCTTATTCCCATAATAGAAAGCAAGAGAGCTACAGCAACGTATAGCAGTGCAGTCTGTATCTACGCTTGGGATTTGACTAACAAACGTAATTCACTTTAAAAAATCTACCAAGATAATTATACTGGCACAGGACTTCTCCATCTTTTGCATCTCGGCCACATGTTTTTTGTGGTTTTAAATTCTTTGTTCACTGATGATATGCTTTGCTTGGTTTATGAGCTCATACAGAGTCTGTACCCGAAGTGCTACAAGCCAAGCGAGCAAACGTGGCAGCCAGACCCTTTCTTACTTTCCTGCAGCATGTTGGCGGTTGGACAAGATGATCTTAGAGGTCTTTTCCTACCTTAATGATTCTGTGTACATTCATCAGAGCTCGGAACAGCCGAACTTCTGAGCTGTACATAAAGTAAGATATACCTTCTCATAATGATGGTTTCCTTGCAGTTTCAAAAAGCGCCATAGTTATGCTGTTTTTATGACTGGAACATAAGAGCTTGCTGTGCTACCAGTGTAACAGGTAGCAATCTAAGTAGCTCCACTGGGGCCGGTGAGGGTTACTGAGCCCCGAACGGCACTGCATTGGCCCACACAGATCTGGTCGTCTGCAAGGCAGCATGGTTACCCTCTTTTGGAAGGGTTTTGAGCCCTCCTGGCTGAATTCCCTCTTCTGCTCTCTGCAAGATCTCAGAAACACTAATGAGTCTTAGCCAGTCCTCACTAATCCTTTTCTTGGTACGATCAAAATACCGCAGTATAAACTGCATAGGTTGTTAGGTAAGTAAGGGAGTAGTCACACGGGTGAACATCATGCTTGCACCATCCTCTGCTGCTGCTGTAAAATGGGGTTGCCACCGGAAGAGGCAGCTTAGTACTTTCTCTGCCTGGCCTCCTCCTTCCAGCCTCTTCACTGCTTTCTGCCTTGTGCCACTATAAACAGGTAGGAAGAACAAGCGTGATCCAGACTGAGGAATTGCTCTGGATTAGGACTAAAATCCGTTGTCAACTTGCTGAGTTTGTGAGTCCAGCTCAGTTCCTAGCTCCCTGTTCACGCACCACCACATGAGCACTTGGGCTGTTGTAAGGGAGGGCATGGCAGGAGGTGAGAACAAGTGGCATTTTTGGGGGAGACTGCTTCTCTGAACAGAAACGCCTGATTTAATTGACTGTAAAATGAGTTTGATTTCCAGCTAGTGAGGTCAGTCCTCCTGCGCCGTCTCTGTGGGCAACGGGTCATTCAGAGGAACGAAGCTGGGCTGAAATCAGCCACTAGAGGGGCCTCCCTCCCACGAGCCCTGCGGCGGCTGGGGCGAGTTTGTGATTTTGAAAACAACAATCAGAAATGAGCTTTCATCCCCGAGTACTAACTTTCACTGGTTTATCATTTAAAAAGCTGCTGATCCAGAGTACATTTGGAAAAGTTTCCAGACAATAGCTGAGATTATAATATGCTTTGCCAGAAGTTAGGCAAAAGACAACCATAAACTGGAGAAGCTCGGCTTCACTCACGCGCATCCTCTAGTGAACCACTGTCAAAAGAAGTCTTGTCCGGCCTTTCTATGAATCTTGCAGTAATGAATCCGTTGTAGATACAGCAGAGACCTGAGGAAATGGTAGCCCACCATGTTTCGCATGCATTTCTCACTAGCTGCCTCACTGTTGATAACCTGACCCAGATGCTGTGCAGCACCAGGACTCTTCTCCGAGTCTCTCAAAGCCAAGAAGAAGCTGCAGCGCAGCACGTGCAGGGGCTTTTCATGCTCCCTCCTGCCCACAGCCTCATTCCAGCAGTGTCATGTTAGCACGTGATCTGAATTGGCAGTTTGACCAACTGGAGAAAAAGGGAGACCGGTCCTGATGTGGAAGGCTCAGCCCTTCCCCCTGCCTATCTGCAGCAGAGTAATGTCAGTCCTGGAACAGTAAAAAATAAAATGCAAAACCATAAACTACAGGCAGCGAAAATCACTTCACCACCTTCTTTCCATTCATTGCAAAAAATCGTATCATGACTTTTGCCAGGTGCTGAGAAAATTGCTCTTAATCATTCATTCAGAAAAAATACTTCAATAACTAATGAAGTGAATTGAGAAGCCTCATTTGATTCTAAAATGAACTCCCATGGAATTTCACTAACTTGTGCCACATTGCAAGTATCCAGCCTCGTCAGAGCCCCTGTATTTGTTGCAAGGGTTAGAAGACAAGGTGTGAGAGGTTCCAGCTAAACAAGGGAAACCTGCTTTGACCTGTAGCTGAAGCATAGATGAAGAGGAAGATAGTTCTGATTGCGGGAGGGCTCAAGATCTTAATCAGCCCTTACCCCTTTAATTAGCATGAAGCAGCTCATGAGTTGCAGCTTACAGCACTGGGCCACAGAAAGTCTCAGGAATAGACAGGTTGCTCCTGATCAGGAATTGGGTAAACATTACCCCTGGGGCTTCGTGTGGTTACAGGTTTGGCATTGCCTGAATTGACTCTGCAATATCAACAGAGGATTGTAATTTATTAGCAACATTGTGCAGCAAAATGCAGTACAGTAGCACACCAGACAAAACATATTTCCCACATCTGAAATTGTTCAAGGGTTAAGATTCAAAAAAAAGCAGTTTAAAATGAAGGAATTTACCAGCTTCCTCCTTCCTAAGATTCTATCTAGTCTCTGATACATCTCATTCAAGTTTGTATTGGAGCAAAGCAAATTCCTCCTGTGTAGCTCCTGTGCTTTATTTCCCCAGGAGCCAAGAATGCTCAACACCTCTGAAAACCTGCTCTCCCATATCTGGAAAGAAGTTCATAAATCTTTCTGTCTCTGCAGACTGTGTTTTAGATATTTCACAGTTTCAGACCAATCTTCAAGAAAAATCATTCAGAAAGAACTCATTTAGGAAGATGTCTTCAATAATCCCATGTTTCAATACATTCATATTCCATTCTGATACAAATATAAATTTTGAGCTTAATATATTGATGCTAATTTTCATAAAGTCTAAAATAAGTCCAGTGAAATGGTAGCTGAAATAAAGCACTGATATTAGCAAAATGAAACACTTCAAAGTGGGAAACCCAAATCGGTTTGCTTCAGGATTCTTACTTAATTTTGATAATGTTCGATGAAGTCTTGTATTTGGACCCGACTTACAAATTTCCCTGAAGTTACCACGCTTCCCTGAAATGTTTAAATGTCAGTTAATTAGATTAATTAATGAGCTCTGCAAAAGTATGTGAATGTGTTTAAAAGTGCTCTGAAAAATAAAGGTTATAATATGTAAGTAGCAAATAATTGAAGATGAAAGAGAAAAATAAACATATTTATTTGTCAAAGCCACCACAAATGGAGAAAAATTACTATTACATACATTTTTCAAAAAACATTGGTATGAGCTGTTTGCAGGTGATTTCTCTTCCCGCCTGTTTTCTAATACCCTCGTGGTTTAGGATGACTTCACTGTTCACGTAAATAACAACAGGAGCGTAACACGGTCTCTACCAGCTCCCTAGGTCAGCGGCCCCTTTCGTGTTCCTTGAGGCTACCCTGGCTCTCCTCGCTCTTTCCTCCGACTGATGCTTCTGCCACCTTTCCGACACTGTGTCCAAGTTATTAGGCCGCGTTTCGCCGTGGCACGGTGAGTCGGCAGAGCTCGCCGAGCGGTTTCAGCTGTGCAGGGCCACACGCCGGCTTCACGGGCAGCAGCATGGCAGGAGCATCGCCTGCAGCCCAGGTCAGGACCGCAGGTCCTGCCGGCCACGCTGTGAAGACGGAGTTACTACAGAAGCCACGCTTTCTGTTTGCAGCGAGACAGAGAAGCGTTCAGGCCAGGTGACACTCACTTCAGAGGAAGACGGGAAAGTTGTGCTGTGAGATACCGCAGTAATTCAGACCGAAAGGTTCTTCCTCTGACGCGAAGCATGGCGGAGCTGCCTGGGTGCGGAGGAGCACGCAGCCCGGAGGTCAGAGTGCCAGCTGGTGCTGGCGATTGCGTCCTGCGAGAAAACGGGACGTACCAACTAGCTGTTACCGAGACTTGTGTTAAATCCTCACAGCCCAACGCTGGCAGGAGGAAGATGCTGGGGTTTGCAGTGAACACTCCTATTTCCGGGAGTCATTTTTCTGTGAGAGGTGCACAGCTCTATGCCGAATAACCGGGTTTAGTAGCTCGTATAGGAAAACAAGGAGCCGTGTAAACGTCCTTCCCCTAGAAGCCGGAATCCTACGGCTCACCAACGGGACCCGCTCCCGGCCCCGACGGGGCTGCC